TAATATATTTGAATCAAGTAAATAATCTGGGAAATGTTAACCTAGAACCAAGATTGCAAAACCACTTTTTATGATGGTGAATAACCCGAAGAATCACACCAAGTTAAGCTATAACTATTATTTACAGCTATCAGTTCAGAACTCTCAGGCAGACCACATTGTATTTTCTCCACAAAACAGCCACCCATCCTAATGTACTTTATCATAATAATGATACCACAATTCTCTGAAGTCATCAGAGCTCAGAATCCCTGAGTAAAAACCTTTGATTCTTGTTTTTATCTCTTGTACTTTTTCCATTCATCCTCCTTACTGTCTCCATCAATCTTTTCTTTTTCATCCCCTTATAATTTCATGCCTGTACTTTTGTAATGACCTAATTCTCTCAATAGTCCTGCACATCACTCTCAGGTCATTCTTCCCATAGTACAGTTTTAGCCATGTCACTCGTTTGTTCAAAAGCTTTCTACCTCTCTCCATTTCCTACAAAATAAAGTTCAACACCCCAGAATGTCACCAGAGGCAGAGCCAGGTTTTAACATCAAAAGGAAGGGAGTCTGGGGTAGGGCTTGCCTTGTTGGTTGAACAAGAAGAAAGTACTTTTTTAAAAAAGACACCATTATTTGACAACCTTTCCTACCTGTCTCCATGTATTACTTTCATGCTGCTTTCACTAGCATCCTTTCATCATAATCTTAACTGTTATGTCAGTATAAGTTGAAAAAGTACCACTTTTCATGAAAATTATGCTTAGGAGGGATAACTCCATCTGCTTCCCTTGTAAACTAGAATTCTGTCATTCCAAGACCTCCAAAATTTGTCCCAAACTGCCTTACTGAGATTTACCTCCTGCTATTCATCAATAATAATTTCCCAATCTAGCCAAACTAGTTTATTCACCATTCATTTCATGAGAGTATCTGTAGCGTGGACTAGAGACATGGGGATAGAAATGGAAAGAAGTATACAAATATTGCTACTGATGGATTGGATGACGGGGGTAAGAAAAAGGAACACAAAGAGCCAGATGATAAATGAGGGCAAATATAAAATAGTTTCCTCCTTGCTGCTTTCCTTAAAATTGGACTGGGCTGGGCCATCCATGCCCCTCCTTCCAGTGCTGCTGTCTGCCCTCATCCCACCTCCTCCCCCTGCCCAGTGGTCATGGCCATCCTTGGCATCCCCTATGAGTGATCGCATCTCATCATGGCAGATCATAGAGATAATGAGCTTCAAATCTATGACAAAAAAAGATGCTGGAAGACAAAAAGATCAACAGTTGTCTTATACAGTTAGGGGAACAAGTAAAAGAACTTACCAGTCAGTATGAAAGTCTGAAAATGATCTGGAGGCCCTACAGTCACCAAATCTGGGTAGATTGTGGGTGAAGTACTTAAGAAATTAATGGAAGAAAAATTCATTGTTAAAGCTACAAATGGACCAAGATATGTTGTGGGTTGTCATTTTCAGCTTGAAAAAAGTAAGCTAAAGCGAAGAACAAGAGTTGCTTTGGCTATGATTATATTGCCATTTGCTAAGATCCACTGGCTTATGGCGTGTTTCTTAAGGACACAGGGAATATTTCTTTTTCCTGAGATTGGGAGGTTATCAGAACAGATCAGAGAATTAAGAGAGGTAATAGAACTATCTCTTACAAACCCAGAATTATTCCAGTGTAGGGATAATACGCGTACCTCTAAAAATCTGTTTGTTTTATGGACCACCAATTATAGGAAACACTAATAACAAGAGCTAATGTTAGGCAGCTGGACTGCAACTTCCTAAATGTTGTATAGTTCTATTGTAGACAAGAGCATTGGTGAAAGTGCTTATTTGATTAGACAAATGTTTAATTATGAAGGGGTCATCAGTCATGCATCATTTTTATGGATAAATACATACCATTGGTGGATATTGGGTTTCTGAAAGCAGTTCGGCTGATAGATTCAGAGGATTTTAATGGAGTTACTCAAATGGATACAGTTAAAATTATGGCTACAAACAAGTATAGTGAATCCTGCTTTGCTGTTGCCAGGTAAATAGAAAATATAATATATTGACTTATTTATATGCAAGATTAGACATTGAAAATCCATGGAGGTACCATTACAAAGCATGATAAAATTATTAGAAAAAATCATGACGTTTTCAGATAGCTGTAATGGAGCAGACTTGAGAAATGTTTGCACTGCAGAAGATATATTGATAATTCATGCTGATTATGAGACTTAGTGTAGAAAGACTTCATGAAGCAATCAGAAGTGGCTGATTTTAAGATGTGGAAGTAAAAGATATAAGACAGGAGGAAGAATTGAAGTATACTTTTGAAGAGGTCTTAAGCTGCATGTGAAGTGGTGTATTATTTAGAGGATGGACTGCAAACAGGCAAGCCACTGCTAATTATTTGGAGTTTCCATTTAAGATGAAACCCATTTATCTTACTTGCCTTAAACCAATTCAAAACCACTTTCTGAACCAGTGTCAGGGGTTTTATCACTCAAGGCCACTCAAGAGAACAGAAGCCACATCAGGTATTTTAACAGAAGTTTTAATGTAAAGAGTTAGACTTGTGTTAGAGGACTGAAATAGAAAAAAGTCAAACACTAAGGTAACACAGAAATTTAAAAGATAAAGCTTTAGGAAGCAGCTACAATGCCTAAACAAAGGGAAGAAGTTGAGGTTATCAAAATCTAAAACCTTGGAATGGCATCGTTGGCGCTGGGGCCGAGATCTCTGAGGAGAATCTCCTGCTCAGCTGATGCTTGAGTTGCAGAAGCTTGGTGGAGGGCCCCCCAAGAGATGGGCTTCAGACCTTTGAGAAAGAGACACCAGTCAGATGGTGTTAGTATCTGAGGGAAGGTGACAAAGCTGGTTATGGAAGTTGAGGATAAAAGTAAACAACTGCCATTACCAGTGTGCAGAAATGCTGCTGGGGTGATGCTGAAAGAAACAGGGAGCAAAAGAGGAAGGAGTCTCTCTTTAGTGCCCCATTGGCAGAACCTAATAGGAACTGTGGTTTACAGGATTCAAGTCCCAGCATCACAAAGCAGAATAAAAAATGAGATTTGGGTTTGAGAGCCATTGGATTACTGACTCATCCAGATGGTCAAGCAAAACAAAGCAGAGGCTAAATAACGTCTCCAAATTAAAATGTATGGATAATTTCTGCTCATGATTTTATTGACGTTAGGAGTATTGAACAAGAACCTTGGATTAATTAAAATCTTCATCACTAACTAGCAAGTAACTTAACATGAAGAAGCCTCAACAAGTTGCTAAGTATTAAGGCATCTCAATTTTCATTCAGTTTTTTCCTGCTTCAGGATAGCTCTAAGGCAGCAGTTCTCAACCTGTGGTTCGCAACACTTTCACAGGGGTCACCTAAGGCCATCGGAAAACAAAAAGATATTTACTTTACGATTCATAACAGTAGCAAAATCACAGTTATAGAGTAGCAACGAAAATAATTTTATGGTTGGGGGTCACCACAACATGAGGAACTGTATTAAGGGGTCGCGGCATTAGGAAGGTTGAGAACCGCTGCTCTAAGGAATCTGTAAGAAAAATGTGAGTGTTCTACCCAAATGCACAAAATCATTGTTAGCACAATTACAAATATTCCAAAACAGATTCTAAGTCAAAAAGCAAATTAAATACACCCTAACATACAAAGTATTAAAGTGTGTAGGAAAGTATATAGCTATGCAAAAACCACACTTGATTAATCTCATAATGTTCTAATTTGGACTTTTGATGTGTATATATTAGTAAACTGATAAACTGCATTTTTATTCACAAACTATAAGTACAGACCTATAATTCTTCAAACTGGCTCAGTTCATCACAGTATTCTGTCCTAAGTGTAGGCAATTCTCAATGGTGCATTTTCATCTGATGCCATGCAGGCTTATTCGACCACTCAACCATGATATAATCTGTCATTTTGTATCTAAACAGGTGGCTCCCTATGTTTAGAAAGATAACAATGTAGACTGTACCCTGGAACTGGTAAAAAAATTTTTTTCAAACATTAATTAATGCATTGTAATTGTCTATGATGTAGATATATGTGGAAAAGAACCTTTGTCCTAGAAAATAACAGAGCCAAATAGGAATAAAAATTTAATTGAAAAGAACATTACAGTACATATTTTGGAAAGAAACTAGAGAAAGATTTCAAATGATGCTTACTCACTAATTAATGGTGGAAAGTAGGAATATCACTTTGAATTCCTTGGATTAAGTTCTGCTGTAATTTGTAGCATTAAAAATATTTCACATATGGACATAAAGTGGAAAAAAAAAAACCAAAATTTAGTGTTGTTGAATGGAGGAGATACACAAGCACATAAACAGGATTTAAAAAATATTCATATAGTGATTCTATTAACAGTGGTTCTTGATCTTTTAACCTACTTCATAATGACCCAGAGGGCCTATAAAAATGCAGACAGCTGAGCCCCATACCAAGTTTCTGATTCAGTAGGTCTGAGGTGGGACCTTAGAACTGCATTTCTAACAGGTTACCAGGTGATGCTGACACTGCTAGTTTGGTCAACCCTCTTCTCTGACTAAGCCAGAATAGTGTCACATTAATTATATCAGTACCTTCCTAGCAAAGACAGAGTATCTTAGATTTTGTAACCGAAAGAGATTAACTAAACTCTCTTTAAGACCTCAATAGAAACTGAAGAGATTTCTGACCAGCTACTATAATAAAACTCAAGGAATTAAAAGTGTACCTACTATTTTATAGGAAAAAAGAATGGCTAGAAAAGCATTAGATTAAAAAAACAAAAACAAAAACAAAGAGGGTGTACCTAATAATACAGTATAAGAGCTCCTGCTAGGGGTGGTAGTTGGTTATGTTTTTTTTTAATTAAAGTTTATTGGGATGACAAATTGTTAGCAAAGTTACATAGGTTTCAGGTATACAACTCTGTAATACATCATCTATATATCACATTGTGTGCTCACCACTCAGAGTCAGTTCTCTTTCCATCACCATATATTTATCCCCTTATTTTTAAGTTGGTGGTGCAGATGGATTGGCATCTGGAGTGAGCCTAACAGTCATGGACATTAGTCTATATGTCACACAGATAGAATGCAGAACATTCGACAATCCTTTTAAATGCAACTTAAGAGAGTTTCAACCACCATGACAAGGATGAGTAGGTGACATCAAATTCTTAGATGTCAACATAGATCATGCCATCTCCAGTAACATCTTCAAATATAAAAATTATGAAAAATCAGGGTCAACAAGGAAAATACTAAGATTCCTATTAGCACCATCCAATATTGTCAAGCACTTGCATGTACATTCAGGTGTTGTTCACAACAGAGAAGCTACAAGGACAATTACCAAAAAATAAATAAGTAAAAAGTAAAATAAACATTAAATTTTTATTTAGTTAGTGTAATTCCTATGATGGTTAGTATGTCTCAGTCACAGCTGATGCTTCTTCTTTCTTTAAGTTTTTATAATCAATATATGGAAGGCATGCAATATTAAGTTCTTCTTTTGTACATCCTTTAAGACAACACTTTTCTGAGTACCCTCTGCGTATTCTTTGGGGATGATTCCCCCAAAACAATTTGCTTAATGTTTGAACTTTGTTTGTATTTTTCTTCTGAAATTCTACAATCTTATGAATATATGAATTGATACCACGTGATAAGGAAACTTCTCTTGTCTCATTAGGTAGCAAGTTGGCCTTCTTATACTCAGGCAGTGACGACATCTCCAAACTGTTTATTGCTTCTTCCTGAGAGGCAGAAGTAGACACTGTTGAGAGAGAACAAAAAATTCTACTTTATTAAAATCTTCCTTTAGCTGAAAATGTAATCATAACACTGGGATACTAAAGTCAGCTAATTATTAAAAAACAAGTAATCACATTTTAAATAATAAAGTGGTTATTCAAAAGCAATATATATATTTTAACTAAAACACTTGTAGGTAGTATTTTCCTATAAAAAGATTTAGAAACACTTGCACATTTTTATGCAAAAAAAATTTTTATTGAGATATTCACATGCCATAAAATTCAGCATTTTTAAAGTATATAATTCAGTGGTTTTATTACATTCACAAGGTTGTATAACCATCACCACTATGTAATTCCAGAATGTTTCTGTCACCCAAAAAGGAAACCCTATACTCATCAGTAGTCATTCTCATTTCCCTCCTTATCCAGCCCCTGCCAACCACTAATCTACGTTTGATCTATGGATTTTCCTATTCTGGCAATGAAATCATATATATGACCGTTTGTGGCTGGTTTCTCTCACTTAGCATAATGTTTTCGATGTTCATCCGTGTAGTAGCAAGTATTAGTACTTCATTCTTTTTATGGCTGAATAATTTTCCATTGTATGAATATGCCAAATTTTGCTTATCAGTTGATGGACATTTGGGTTGTTTCCACTTTTTGACCATTATGAATAGTGCTTCTATGAACATTCACATACAAGTTTTTGTGTGAATATGTGTTTTCAATTCTCTTGGGTATAGACTTAGGAGAACTGCTGGATCATATGGTAAATTTGTTTAACTTTTTGAGGAACCACCAAAACTGTTTTCCATAGTAGCTGTACCATTTTACAATCCCACCACTGTTATACTAGGGTTCCAATTGTTCCACATCCCCACCAACACTTTGATATTTTCCATTTTTTCAATGATAGTCATCTTAATGGATGTGAAGTGGTATCATATTGTGGTTTTGATTTGTGTTTACCTAATGACTAATGATGTTGAGCATCTTTTCATATGCTTTTTATATATCCCCATTTATAGAAATATCTATTCAAATCCTTTGCCAATTTTCAAATTGGCTTATTTGTTTTTATGCATATATTATAAGTATGTGGTTAGTAGAAACCATTTTGTTCTTCATTGACATATAAAGACATGGAGAAGTGGTGATATTTTCAATCAACTGACTGTTACTGTTATACTGCTGTCAACTCAGTACAATTGGAAAAAAATTAAAACAACTCCAGAAGGTAATTAGTTGGAGGCTTGTTGAATATCTGTTATTGCTCTAGCCCATATACAGTCCCTTCCAGGATACATCTGTAGAGCCAGCACTTAGGCAGCCATGTTCTGAACCACGTGACTCCACCCTATAGCCACAGTTGAACAGATTTGAGGTTGGCACCTGAACCCAAAGAAACTAATCTACTACAGTGATCAGTAATCCATGCCATATGAAAAATATAAGTTGGCCCAATGAGAGAGATATCCTTCTCTTTGAAATAAGAACTAAGAGTGAAAAAAAAGATGAGTCAGTGAGAATCAAAAACTGAAAGGATACTATGAGGCTTGTCATGAGAAGCTGAAATCATAAAGGAACATAGGTGCTAGAGGAGAAAAGATTCAGGAAGAAGGAGGTGGCTTTTATAGCTGATGTGATTCCTTGGGCTTTCCAGAGCCTTTCCAGGTCTTGATCTTGTTTTTATAATAACAATCCTCCCCTTTTTCTTAAGGTTGTTTAGGTGAATCTCTGTCTCATGTAGTGCAATGAGAACACTCTTTAATTTTTTATTTAATAAACGTCTAAGCTAAACTACGGAACATTAAAACTTTAGGATAGATATTAAAGAAATAATAAATAATAAGTCATCTAAGACAGATATGTATATGATTAATTAAAATGTGTTATAATTAGCAGAGTATACTGAAGGGAAACAGTGAATTAGGTTGTCTTGGCAGGTTGAAGAAAGGGCTTCCTGTATGAGATGTGCCATATTCTGTCACTTAAGGGGGAGAAAATCAGACAATAAGAAGGAAACTTTTTCATAAATGAAGGCAACTTGGCACTAGTTAATGAAAACTACCTGTCAAATTGGGGAGGGAATTTAAAGAGGAACAAGCTGTACTCATCAGGAAACAAGAAAGATTAAAAATGAGTCTTCAAATCAATGAATTTGAAAAAGAGCAACAGACAGAACCTAAAGAAGAAAGAAGGAATCAATAAAATACAGAACCAAACATATAAAGGTTTAAAAAGCCAAAAGTTGATTCTTTAAAGGATTAGTATAATAGATAGAATTCTAGCCAGACTAATTAAGAAAAAAGAAATATGAAAATGAACAAAATACAATAAGAAAAAAAAGAACTACAGATTTATTTTTATAAATGAATATTATGAGTTATTATATATTTAAAAATCAAAATGAAATGGATGAATTCCTAGAAAAATACAAGATGCCTTAATTGTCACATGAAGACATAGAAACTTAAATATATCAACAATATTCAAAGAAATTAAAAGGGTAGTCATGGTTATCACCTCCCCAAGAAGATAGACTTGGGGTGATTTAGAGGTGGGTTCTACCTACTTTTCAAGAACAGTGAATTCTAATCATATACAAGTTGTTACAGGGAAAGTGAAAAAGAGCAGAAGATGCCCAGCTCATTTTAAGAAGTTAGTATAACCTTTATTCCAAAACTAGAAAAGAACAATATGAGATTAAAAACAAAAAACAAAAACAAAAAAACCCCACAACTCATAGGCCCATTTTACTTACAAATGTTTATTTGTAAGTCCTAATTAAGATATTAGTTAACTGGGCCGGCCGAGTGGCATGTTGGTTAAGAGCTGGCTTAGGACACCAGCTCTGAGTAGCATGGCCCCAGTTCGGATCCCACATGAGGGCCAGTGACACTGCCCTCTACAACTAAGATGGTGAACAACAGCTAGACCTGGAGCTGGGCTGCCTGAGTCGCTGGTGACGGCATAGGCTGCAGCCCCTGCTGCAGTGGGCTGCCATAAGCTACCATGTGTGGCCGGCAGCCGGCGTGAGCTGCCAAGAGCCACCGTGAGCAGCCGTCCAGAGGCCGGCGACCGATCTGCTGGGAAGAGCCCAATGAAAATACCAACATGGGCCAGTGAAGCAACATACTCCACAACTAGATTGAAGAACAAAAGGACAGCAATTTGTCTGTTCCCCTTCCCTGATTCCCCAACGCTGTTCCCCTCCCCCAATTCCCCAATAAAATCTTAAAAAAAAAAGATATTAGTTAACTGAATCTATAAACATATTTTACAAATAATTAAGAAAGAGTTTATCCCAGAAATGCAAGGATAGGTCAAGATCACAAAATCTATCAATGCAAGTTACCACATTAAGAGACACCCATCCTTACTCTCAGCTGATTTTGCTTCTTACTTTATGAGAAAATTGAAGCAATCAGAAGAGAACTTGCATTTGCTTTCTTCACCATTTTTTTTAACTCATCTCTTAACATCTGTACCCATATAATCTGTCTTCCTACCTATATCCATAGGTGAGCTATCCACTCTAAAGCCAATTCCTCCACTTATAGACTAGATCTCATCTCCTCTATTCCAGGATATCACTCCAGCAATCCTTCTCTATATCCTTCATCATCAATTTTTCACTTCTATTGAATCACTTCTATCAGCAAACAAATATGATATTTCTCCCACTAAAAAAACCCAGAAACACAAAATCACTTCTCTTGGCCCTACTTACTCTGCTAGTTACCATTCTATTTCTTTTCTCCCCTCTGTAACAAAACTTAATAATTTTCTATATTTACTAATTCACTTTTCTTTTCTCATTCTGTTTTAAACCCACTCTAATCAGGGATGTTTTGAATCAGCAATTTGGAAGAAAAGATAACAGAAAATACTCAATGACAGCAGCAAAAAGGAAAAAGAATGCAAAAAATTGAGGCTAGTTTAAGGGGCCTCTGGGACAACATCAAGCACACCAACATTTGCTTCATAGCAGTACCAGAAGGAGAAGAGAAGCAGCAAGGAATCGAAAACTTATTTGAAGAAATAATGACAAAAAATTTCTCTAACTCGGTGAAGGAAATAGACATCCTAGCCCAGGAAGTGCACAGAGTCCCAAACAAGATGAACCAAAGAGGCCAACACCAAGACACATCATAATTAAAATGCCAAAGGTTAAAGACAAAGACAGAACCTTAAAAGCAGCAAGAGAAAGGCAGTTAGTTACCTACAAGGAAGCTCCCATAAGACTGTCAGCTGATTTCTCAACAGAAACTTTGCAGGCCACAAGGGACTGGCACAAAATGTTCAAAGTGATGAAAAGTAAGGACTTACAACCAAGATTACTCTACCCAACAATGCGATCATTTAAAATTGAAGGAGAGATAAAGAGCTTCCCAGACAAGAAAAAGTTAAGAGTTCATCACCATCAAGCCAGTATTGAAAAAAATGTTAAAGGGACTTCTTTAAGGAGAAGGAAAAAAAGATCAAAACTATGAAAAATAAAATGGCAATAACCACATTCTTATCAATAATTACTTTAAATATCAATAAATTAAATGCTCCAATCAAAATACATAGGGTGGCTGAATGGATAAGAAAACAAAACCCTTACATATGCTGCCTTACAAAAAGACTCACTTCAGATCGAAAGATGCATACAGACTGAAAGTAAAAGGATGGAAAGAGATATTTCATGAAAATAGAGACAAAAAAAAAAGATGGGGTAACAATACTTATACCAGACAAAATAGACTTTAAAGCAAAGGCTATAACAAGAAACAAACAGAATTGGGATTTCTGGGTAATTATCCAAAGAAATCCAAAGCACTATATTGAGGGGACATGTACATCCATATGTTCATTGCAGCATTATTTACACTAGCCAAGATATGGAGGCAACCTGGGTGTCCATCAATGGATGAATGGATAATGAAGAGGTGGTACATACACACAATGGAATATTACTCAGTCATAAAAAAGAATGAAATCCTACCATCTGCAATAACAGGGATGGACCTAGAGGGTATTGTGCTGAGTGGAGTAAGTCAGACAGAGAAACACAAATGCCACATGATTTCACTTATATTTGGAATATAAAGAACAAAATAAATGAACAAACAAAACAGAAACAGATGCATACCTACAGAGAACATTTTGATGGTTGCCAGATAGGAAGGGTGTTGGGGGGATGGGTGAAAAAGGTGAAAGGATTAAGAAGTACAAATTGGTACTTCTTAGTACCAATTAGTCATGGAGATGGAAAGTATAGCATTAGGAATACAGTCAATAATAATTTAATAACTATATATGGTGTCAGGTATGTACTAGATTTATCGGGGTGATCACTTTGTAAGTTGTATAAATGTCTAATCACTATGTTGTACACCTTAAACTAATATATTGTATGTCAATTGTAATTGAAAACTAAAGGAATTATTTTAAAAATTAATGTAATATGTCACAAACAGTACATAATGAAAAAGAAAAAGACTGGTTATGTAAAAAAAGGAAAGAAATATTCTCCATAGTAGACGTTGTCACGAAAAGACATTCCAAGCTCTTTTAAAATTTAATAACAAACTCAAGCTTGGATGTCGGAAAGTAAAATTTTGATGATAGTAATATAGGTAGTGAAAGCACAGTATTTGATGTTAGAGAAATGCCCACCCAAAATGGAGTACAAAGGGAAGGTGCTCCTCGCACTTCAGGGAGAAAAGAATAAGGAAGAGAGGAGAGAGGTGTACTAGACCCTTGTTACTCAAAAAGCATCATCCAACTAGCAGCATCAGCATCACACCTAGGAGCTTGTAAAAATGGAGATCCTCGGTCCCCATCCCAGACCTACTGAATCAGAATCTGTATAGTAATGGTATCCATGATTCGTATGTACATTAAAGTGTGAGAATCACTGAATTAATGTACAAGTGGAAGACTTCAGGGAGAGGCACTTCATTATAAAACAGGATAAAATGAGTTTATATGTAGGTAGGTTTGATGGTGGAAAATGATCAAGATTCAGTATGATGGTTTCTATTATTTGTCTTAAAAGTTTTCATTCACTTAACAGCACTAATCTTATAAGTTTCATTCATTCATTCATTCATTCATTAAAAAAGAAGTTAATGAGTGCCTATAATATGCTTAGCACTTTTAAAACTTTGTTTCAGTCAACTATATTAGGGTCTCTCTCTTGGCATGATAGTTCTAGCTTTTCCTTTATTTCAAAAATCTTGACTTTGACTTTTGGACTTTCGTCCAAATCAAATAAATCGAATTACTTTTAAAAGGCAGTAATTTCAATTACATTATGCTATGGACAGTCTACAAATAAAGTGCATTTCCTTTTAAAATGGCAAACCATATTGGGACTAAAATGTTAGTCACAAAATGTAAAAACTTAGTTGGACGATAACAATAGCTCTGAAACAAGAATATTCTTCCTAAAGACTGCTTAAAAGGATTAAGTATAAATTCAATATATATTAAGCACATACAACGTGCTAGGCCCTCTGCCAGGCATTTCAGATTAAAACATGCATGAGGTAGTCCCTTTACTATGGTGTAGTATAGGAGGCTGGCCTTGTGGGAATGAGGCTTGTGCAGTGGCACCGACCCAATGCTTCGAAAGACCCTGCATTTTGTTTAATGGTCTATTATCGGAGTCTTGAAATTCTCAATAATTTTATCTTTGAACTTGTAAGTGAAGTCTGATGGGACAGCGGACTGTGTGTGAGCAGAGGGCATACACACAAGAAAGGAAAAAAGCTTTATATTTTAGTAACTTTAATGGCCCTTGCCTGCTTTTTTGATCAAGGGGCATTTTCATCTTGCACTGGGCAGGCAGGGCCAATTACGTAGCCGGTCTTGATGAGAGTCAAATAGAACTAAGTGTTAATAACTGTAGTCGAGCGGAGAATGGATGAGTAGCTATGGAAGAGTCAGTGACGACTCCACAGGGAAAATGACACCTAAGTTAGCCTTTGAAGGACAAAATGGAGTTTGCCAGGTGACGGGTACTCCAGAAAAGGAAAGCTAGGGAAGAAGCAGCATTCTTACAAACATGTGCAGATTTATATGTGCACATTTCCTCTAAGTTAAAAAAAAAAGGCTTCATAGAGGTTTTGTATATCCAAAATATACTAGTTTATAAAATTTTTTTATTTACCTGTGTACTAGGCACAAATTCCATTTCCTGAGGGGGAAGCTCACCGCCTGGCAGAGCAGATTCAGGGCTAAGAAATGTACAGAGATGAACAAACATGCCTTTGGTTTTTAGATTTTTTTACCTGCGTTCGTGCCTCTCCCCCAGACCGGGAAAGTGGTTTGGGAGCTTTCTAACCGGTCGGGTATGAAGCTTTCAACCTTCTCGGCGGCCTGGGAAAGCAGCTGTGTGAAAGGGGTATTCTCCTCCAAGTGGCTCCAGTCTGCATTGCCACAGAGTTTTACTATTCCTTCCAGCAGGTGCCTTCCGCACAGCTTCCTGGCTCTGCTGCTGTCGCTCTGCTCACAGGAGAACCGTCCCGGCAGGAGCCCGAACCACAGCAGACACATGCAGAGGAGCCGCAGCATCCCTGGGGCCCTCAGCCAGTTCGGCTCCGCGCACTAACTGCCGGCCGCCTCCGCCGCCGTCCGCAGCTACCCGCGCGGGTCCCGGCCCCCGCCCCGCCCCCGGCCCCG